AAAAAAAAATTTAACTTCTTCAAACTTTTACAATTTAAAATAGTAATCTGACTTGTAAATAATTATTTACAGATTAATGTACAAAGAAAGAGAAAAAAATTTGGAAGAAAGGGAGAATGAAAAAAAAAAGGAGAAAAGGAAATCAATTAAGAGATTGTTTAGTGGAGATTAAAATTAAATTTTCTAATAGATTGTGGTAGAAGATTTTTAAATGTATAATTGAAAATTTGTGAGACTCACAAAATACGTGATTAATATTGAATGTTTGACTTTGACTTAGATTAAAATCAGATTTTAATCCGTACCAAGAATATTCTAAATTTCAATATAATATCATGTTATCAACGTGTACATCAATTATAAATTATTATGTACACGTAGCATTACTCTTAAAATATAGACTTACCAAATATATGGTGCAAAATTTCAATTACGCAAGCTCTCCTGGGCACATAATATGAAAAAATAAAACGCTTTTAAAAATGTTATTTCGATTGCGAGTTTTGATCTTTTGTTCTCAAATATTTTACTACACAGGTTGTAGTCAAGTTCAAACAATTTCTTCTACATTACGTCTGCTTTCAACTTTTCAACCTTTTCAAGCAAATATCCATCATCTCCCCCGTTGACCTAGACAAGCACTCACATTTACATATACAATGTGCATACGCACCCATCTCAACATATACATATATGTTCTTCTGCTTATACACCATTTCCACTCCGATGATCCTTCCTCTTTTTTCCCTTTTTCTCTGGTTCTAGATTCTTGAACACTGATATACGTAAGTCACTTTGCTTTCATTATCAGCCAAATTCTGCGTGTTTTTATTGAATAAGTTACATGAATATAATCTTTAAAACTTTTCTTAAAGGCCCAGAAAAAATTATTCTGAGATAATTATTTCTGATGACTTCTTATGATGCTTTCAGATTTTTGTAAATGAAATTATGGAGCCCCCAGAGAGGAAGTCATTATTTTGCATTTGCTTTCCATCAGTACTTCTGCTTTCTGCTGTTCTCTTTATTGGGAGTGCATTCCTAGTCACTGATTATAAGGATGTACTTTTCTTCCTTTTTTTTTTTTTTTTTATCTCTATAAGTTCATTTATTTACTCACTTGTAATCACTGGTATTTTTCATTGCTGGTTTTGTCTTATCGTGAAGTTATCATAATTCTTTAGTTACTTTTATTGAAGATTTAAATATGTGGAATTAAATACTGTCCTTGGCAAACTTCTGATTTAAACAAATAAGTTTGTCCCCTCCACATGCTTAATGGCTTATTTCCTAGATGGGTTGGTTCAACATGGTATATCAAAGGTATGAACTTCGTAGTTCAAGTCTCTTTACCTCATATTCATATGCATGTGCACGCATCAAGCCTATGAGGGACATTATCCCCTCTCTAGACCCAATAACTTAAACTTTTAGATTAGGTGGTTCAATCGTACTCAAAGCTTCAAATTTTTTAAAAAGAAATTATATGTCGTAATTTTCCCTTGAATTAGTTGCTGCTACTATCTCAAAAAGGAATTAGTATAACGAATGATTGGTTTTATTTTCCGTGCAGAGGTTTTTGGGATGTCAAATGTTTAACAATATAAAGGCCACAAAATCTAAGATGTGTGAGGTTTGTACAAGTTTTTGGCAGTTCTTTATTTATCTCTTCCAGCAGCTATTTAGTGTATTATCTTCAGTCCTGACCATGAAAAATTTTGCTTATACGCTGTCATTTACATTGTTTTACTCCATTTAGAATCAGTGTAGGCCTGAAGGAAGTGAGACCTTGCCTAAAGGGATTGTTTCTATAACTACTGATTTGGAGATGCGGCCACTGTGGGGCCGTCCAAAGAAGGTATGAATCTTTTCTCATCAATGTAAAAGTACAAGTTTGGACAGTTAGTTATACAAAATCAAGAATGGTTGATTCCTTTTCAATAATACTGTGATCTTTTTCCTATTTCTGACTATATGCCAAGTGCATTAAGCAGTACATTGGCTGCGGCCTAATTCCATTTCCAAAAGTCTTTTATTGTATCCCGTCCTGTTTATAGGAGATCAGAATTTATCTGTTTTCTACATAGATTGTGTTTCATTTGATTCATCTGATCAACTTCTTTTTGATTTTGTATTCCAACTTTAGAAGTCCAAGTCACCAATGAATTTGTTGGCAATTGCAGTTGGAATAAATCAGAAAGAAAATGTGAATGAAATGATTAAAAAGGTGAGGAAATGAAATTTGAACCCTGTTTTTATTGTTTATATAAACTTCTTGGATTGACACACTTATCTTATTTTCAGTTTCCGTTGACCAATTTTGCCATCATGCTTTTTCATTATGATGGTAACGTCGACCGCTGGAAAGAATTAGAATGGAGCAATTATGCCATACATGTTTCTGCTATTAACCAAACTAAGTGGTACTAATTCTTCTCCACTAATTTAAGCTAGTTTTACACAGTTTTAGACGTACCTCAAGATATCTTGTGCACTTTACCATCGAACTTGTTCCTTTTGATTTAGGTGGTTTGCCAAGAGGTTCTTACATCCAGATGCTGTTGCACGGTATGCCTATATTTTCCTTTGGGATGAAGATCTTGGAGTTGACAACTTTCACGTTGGGAGGTATATTTTAATATCTGCGAGTTCATAAGGATGAATAATTCTCCTACACGCGTGACAATAATTATATGGCAGTTCCTTAGTTATATTTTATTGTATTCAAAGTAGATAAGTTCAGAAGTGTTAATGAAGATTAAACCAAATAATTTTATCTGTTTCCAGAAGTTGGATATTCAGAAATACACAACTGATTCTCCCAATTTTTCATGTAGATATCTCTCAATTATTAAAGAGGAAGGTCTTCAGATTTCACAGCCAGCAATTGATCCTGAAAAATCAGAGGTCCATTACAAATTTACGGCACGAGAATTAAACTCGACAGTACACCGGTATCTCCTTTTATAAATCTTATGGGTTTTGTTATTATTATTGTTAATTGAGTAGTTTGCATTCTTAACCTAAAGTTTATATATGCTGGCTATTTTCTGCTACCAGAAGGACTATAAACTTACGTGGTCCAGGCAGGCGGTGCTATGAAGATAGCACCGGCCCTCCATGCACGGGGTGAGTTCATTCATGGAAATCCATATGAATACAGGGATCATGTTGCTCCATCACATATCTTCATAATTGGTTAGGATCATGATAAAATTTTATAATTAATACAGCTTTGTGGAGATGATGGCTCCTGTTTTCTCAAGGGAGTCATGGCGTTGTGCTTGGTACATGATTCAGGTGTGGCATTATTATATACTTGTGTTACTCAATATTTGGATGTTCGTTTTAGTTTATTTTATCTACATAGGTGAAATATTATGAACAATGTGATTTTTTTTGCCAATGTTTTTTTAACAGAATGACCTTGTTCATGCATGGGGCCTCGACTTCCAACTTGGTTACTGTGCACAGGTTTGCCCTTTCACAAGGCAATATCTTTTTTCCATATATTCTCCAATAATATGTTATAGTTTGTGAATATGCTTCTGTTAGGGAAATCAAACAGCAAATATTGGAATTGTCGACTCTGAGTACGTAGTCCATTTTGGTCTACCCACTCTTGGGGGTTTGGCATCAGACAAGGTACGTAAGCTTAGTTCAGTTTTTTTCGTCCCAAGAACACATATCGAGTCTGTATCATGTATTTTCAGTTCTATAGTTCAAGTTCTCAATAAGGAATAAGTCATTTAGTTTAGTGTGTTGTAAGCTAGACCGAATTGTCGTCCTGAATTTCATATCAACTGATGCAGGCTAACAGTGAAGACAAAGGCCAGTCGTCTCTAAATAAAGTGTCGCCTGACCAAGGGCACAAGGTTCGGATCAGATACTTTTGATGTGACAGTAATAAACTATTTTCTCTTTACAAATGCTTATAGTTTTTTACCATTACCTTACAGGTACCATCTGAAACAGATCAATCTGATGGTAGAAATGCTGTAAGTCTCTGTTCATTTTTCTTTCTAACCATGCTTTAGTTGCACATGCCATTACCAAAAGAAGAAAACCGAAAAATAATATAAGTTCTCATTTATTATATTATCCTGTTCCGTCTAGAACTGCACATGTCATTTGGACAATTTGAGTTAACTCTCATGTGTGCCTTTTGCAGGTACGAAAGGAGTCCTATATTGAATTAGAGAACTTTAAGAACAGATGGAAGAAAGCTGTAAGAGAAGATGAATGTTGGGAGGATCCCTTTCAGCAGCCAGTAACGAAATGAGGACAAAAGAATTTATTGTATAGATATAGGTTTTTACTTCAAAGAAAGCAAATGTAAAACGAAGAAAACACTTCTTCGATTCAAATAATATTCTTTACAATAAGCAGAATTATTCTGTTTGATGATATAAAAATGTAAATCCTCAACATTTGATTACTTGTTGAATTCTAGAAAAGAAAAATAACATTTCCAATAAGTTGTATTAAATACTTTTTCTTTTGCTTACAATTGTAGCAATGAGTTTTGCTATTTCCTCACTGCAATCTTCCTGCACATGATGTCCTGCCTGAAGAAGTTACAGAATAGACACTTGGATCCAGAGAATTAAGACTGAAAAGTTTGTAATTCTTACAATACATCAACAAACTGAGATTCAGGGTCACTTATATGAATTTTTTTGGCTGCACAGTTGGTCATTGTTTCTTTACTAGAAGATCTAAAGTGACTAGATTCCTGATAATAATCATAACATGTTAATATACATCTCTTGTTTCCGACCTATTCTACTAAGATCCACATCGTTCAATTATTACAATAAATTCGAGAATTAAGCTTGTTTTGACAAACCATGGGAAAAAGTAGACTTTTTTAGAAGTAAGTGGGGACTTTTAACCAAGTTTTTGTTCGCAAAAATGTAATTATGGCTTATATATATGTTTGTTAAGGCTTAAAAGTTACTTTTAAGTAACTCTACTTTTTACTAGACTTTGCCAAGCATGCTTCATATCATGCAGTTATCTTCTGCCACACGAGCAAGGTATAAAATCTCTTGGAGAACATAAATAAGAGAGAGAGTATTATTACCGTGGGAAGATTGATTAACCGATGATTGGATTCTTTGCAGAAATCTTCCACCCCATCATAGCTTAACCAGCGGTCTCTTTCGCCCCAGCATATAGTTGTTTGAACTTTCCAATTTTCATCCATTAGTATCTTCCTCATCTCTTCAACGTACGTCTGCAATATTAAATAACATGAAATTCTGAAAACTAGAAGTTTTTGGAAAAAGTGAGATTTCAGTTTAAACAAGCAACGTTATCAAGAAAAGGATAATATGAAGCATAGCAGGACCATTCCAATTCCTATCCCAAGAGCTGATGCAAGAAAAGATAGAATTTCTCTAGTTCTCATATAATTTCTCTCTTTCACGTTTCGGATGAATGAGAAAAGATGGCAGTACTCATTACAGTTGGCTTCCAAAAGCAATGATGTTCGGATCCTTAAAAAAGTAATTTAATTTTCCAGAATAAGTTGGCCTGATGCTCCTGGTGTTTGAAAACTCCACATAGCTGGCTCAAGGACACTGCATATTTAAGCAACTTCTCGGTGTCCAGAATCGTCGCCCTGTTTTATTGTCTATCTCACTTTATCCTCTATCTAGTTTGAAGAGTAAAAAATTGAAGATTAAATAAGGCTGCATCAGGATCTTCCTGATGCCTGTAACAATTTATTGGATGCTCAATAGACATCTATCAAGCATGCAACTATATTATACTTTATGCCTCAGGAGGTGACTGTAATCTGTGTTCATGATAAACTGGCACTATCCGTAAGAGAGGGAAATGCATGAATCTATAGAATTGTCGAGCTCCTTCACAATAATTAGGACAGAAAATAAGTAATTAATAATGAAAGATCTTGTACTAGCTAATATAGTTACATTGATTCCCTAACATGCACCTGAACAAATATTTCCAACACAACAGGCACCTTAAGGTTATACCTTTTAAGTGAACGTAACTTCCCAAACCAGAAGAGAAAAGAAAGATTGGCAGAGAAATTGCACCTTAAGTTCCTTTTTCATTGCTCTACTGATTGCGTTCAGTGCAAATCCAGACGAACCAGATGTAAGATAAGGTCTTCTGTAGACCATTGCAACTTCTTCCTTCATCTCGTATGGACCGCCACTTAACAGGGCTTTGTCACTTGCTCTTAAAGGATCCTGATTCAGAAGCAACCATTTATTGGAATGGAAATTCAACAGTTAACAAGCTTTACAGAAATATAAATGCAAGTTATATTATTGATTTTCTCACCTGAGAAAAAATCTCACCCAATAAAAAGTTGCTGAATATAGATAATGTTGATGGCAGGTTGGCATGTTTTACTGTCAGCTTTATCAAAGAATGAAAAGAATATTAGGCGCCTTAGATGCCATGGAAAATTTTACACATTAAATTAATATGTTGTGCATACATGGATACGAAATCACTTAATAGCTTAATAAGATTGCAAAGGGTCACAAGTGTTTCAATATAATGTCTGGATTAGGTTTTACTCTAAATCCATTGGGGCACTGGGCATATTTACAAGAATCCTCTACAATGACAAGAAAAGAGAATATTGTTCAAGCATCATGTGCATATGTTAAGTTGCATAGTATCTCTAGTTCTAAAGTTAAATAAATTGCATGAACTTGTCACAGTTTCAAGACCTAAGACTTGAGTATCTACTTTGTTTCGAACATGAGGGCTAGTATATATTTTAGTTCACCTGAACTTTGTAATTACCCGCATGTTTGTACTTTATTATGTATATGTTCCAAATAATCTGAAATATATGAATACCTGTAATACTCAAAATTGCGAATGTGGAATTGGTCCAAAAAAATTACACAAATATGGATCAAGATTATCTGAGAGAAACAAGCTTTGCTAGTCTTCATATAATTTGTGTCCAAGTCCAACGTCACTCATATGTGGATAGTTGAATCGCAGCTTTGGCACATACTATGGATATGGCTGACTAAAGATGGATATTATGCGATAAATGCAGTATAGGGTGGAAAATGAAAAGGAGGCCTTTGGTGGCAATTGATATGCCAAATGAATGGCAGTTGAGATCATTCAGTATCCTTGTATATATGTGGCCATGAGATGATCTATGTACTTGTATCAAATATAGAACCTTTGTACTTTGAATTATTTGGTAGTCTTGCTGAGCCTAGTTTGGCCAGTTTCATTCTCTGAATGAAAAATAATTTTTATTCATGCATTTGAAGGAGAGCAAGAGTGCAAATAACCATGAATGGCAGGCATACAAAGGATTTGGACCATTTGGTTCAAGATTGATAAACTCAGATGTCTTGGATAGATTTGAAATCTTATATCCCAAAGGATCAGATCTGAATTAAACGCCGTTGTTCTTCTGTAACTTGAGATGTCAATTATTTGGGTTCTATTATCATGTGTACACTGATTTATTTTAAACCATAAGGATTCACAATATGATTTTAACAAAAGACAATTCATGTCTCCCGGAAACAACAGCAAATGCAGCGGCAAAGGAATTTCTGTTATCTGATTCTTGACAATGACAGATTGTGTTTTAAGATATACAAAGGGCTCAACCAACATTCTCTTACCAGACTAACATGTGTTTCATGAAACCTCTTTGGCTAAAGAATTAGTAAAAGCAATCTATATGATATGGAACTATATCAGTGATTCAGGTGTGTTCCCAAGCATACAACAATATAGCAAGTCTCAAACTTCCATCATATTGAACTCTAAGGATGAGTATAATCCTCAACAATTTATGAAGATAAAATATTTTCTGGTCAATCAATATCTCAATTATCCAAGACTATAAGGAAATAAATAGCATATCCATATTTGTATCATACTGGTGGATTTAGAAGAATGAGATTATTAATCTTTTCCTGGTGACTGCTCGCATATTTGACAACAACTGGTGAAAAGTATCCCTATAAAAGAAGAGCATAAGCTAATATTCGTCAAAATTAGAGGTCAGATGACAAATAACTTTGGAAGTATGGTTATATATCCAGATTCAAGATGGCATGTACCTGGACAACAAGAGTAACCTTATCTTTTGAGAGTTCATTGATAACAGATTCCAAGGATGACACATATTCTGCAAGCCAGAAGGAAACTTTTAGCGTTGATAGTAGATATTTTTCTTTAATAGTGACACGATAACTAATTAAAATCTTATGGCAGAAAATACCATTCAAAGTGTAGTCAAAGCCATATTTGGGTTGAGGTTTATCTGAAAAGCCAAATCCTGTAAGAACAAGAATGCCAAGAGAATTTAATAATGATAGCTTTATCTAAGCTCATGCAGCAAAAAACTATTTTAAACTACTGTAACGGGACTTCAGGAATGACAGATCATTTATGCCACGAACAAGAAAGAATTTAGTGTAAAACATTACCCAAAACTGAAACATAACGGAAGTACTTATTTATGTTTGTGCGACTTACAAAAACTATGCAAATAACTGTAATTTCTAGTAAGAAAGTGAGCTTAAGCTTACCTAGCCAATCAAAAGCAATAGCATGATAATTCTTTGAGAGAATTGGTAGAACTTTGCGATAAGAATAAGCCTATAACAGAAAGATAAAGTATATTTTCAGGTACTACTCATCACGAAAATCTAAATAGACTGAAAAAGTTCCCTTAATGCTCTATTGAAGCAGTGAAATCTAAGGTAAAATATACCAAAAAAATTAGAAGTTGATTACATCGTATCCTAGAGAAACTGAGAGGTCTGACATCTGAACTTGTAACTCAATGTTAACAGACCTCAGAGTACACCCATTTAGATACATTGGCAAGAAAATTTGGATTCAGTTGTAAGCTTTTATCAAATATCAGAAAAATTAAGATTTTAGTACCACTGTCCAGTGAGAATAAAACAATATTATCTTGTAGGATTTAAGTATGCTTTCATATCCAAATGAATAATTACGTGGCAGGAAGTTGTAAATTATGCAACAATTACCAAAGGAATAAATATTATCTTGTAGGATTTAAGTATGCTTTCATATCCAAATGAATAATTACGTGGCAGGAAGTTGTAAATTATGCAATAACTTCCAAAGGAATAAGAAAGTTCGAATGATTCCCACTTTTCAACTGGACTAAGTATATATGTGAAGGGACTACATTTATATCTTGTTTTCATTGATCGAAAGTAGCAGAAAAGCATAAGACTCACCTGTGAAGGGAAACCATGAATCAGTATGACTCGTGGATTTTCAGGGCTTCCACTTTGTACACAAAACCATCTATTGCACAAAATGAGCATGTTTCAATTCATAGCCCTGCAAATAATCCGTCCTCAATATCTGAATAACATTGATTGCTAACCCATAACATTAAGGTCATGTTTGGTATACAGTCCTTCTAGAATAGATAAGACATAACTTTCTTTCCTTCCGTTATACTTCCTAGGACTCTACAATCCACCTTACCAAACATGTCATAGTTGTTCTCGTAGTGCTTGTTGCTCCCACAAACAGAGTCTTTAACAAAAGTCTCATTTGATTACCTAAAAAGATCAGATGTGGCCTGTGAAGAGCCACCCATTGCAAGTCCGAAGATTGGATCCTTTGCTTTCTCTCCTGTGCCACCAACAGGATGGGCTTTCATCTGAATACAACATAACCATCAATCAACATCCAAATGAGCCTAACCCCTTTAAATTTTGATAATTTGGCAGAAAAATGAAGTCAATAAGTTGCAATTTTGTCTTCATAGCAAAATGAAGCCAAACAGAATTCCAATTAGCATACTATCATTCCTTGCTTGAACCATTCGTCAGCCGGGCTTGGTTCATCAGAATACTTCCCTGTCAAAAATTACACTTTAATTTCAGAAAAACCATTATTAAAATTTTTTCATTTTCAATAAAACATAGTTAAAGCTGGCCGGGATGGGGGGGATCCGTATTATCAATCTTAGTTCCAACTTCCAAACCTCCACTGAAAGAAAACCCATCTCCAACTGAAACAGGTGCATCCAACAAATAATCCTACAACATTAATAACGTCAGAATCATAATGAAGAAAGAAACCTATTATTCAGAAATTTGTATCTACCTCATCAGAATTACTGCTTGATTGGCAACAGAATCGGTGGAGTTTCTTACTCGTGAAAAATGGGAGCTTTGATATGAGAGGGCGAGGGCGAATATTTATCGGAAATGCGAGTAGAGAATTGAATTGAAGTGATGACGAGGAGAATGGGATTGCCATGGAAAGGATTCAAAGGAAGGAAAATGGTTTTCAAAAAAGAGTGGCAGTTATGACGGTTTATAGGTAGAAATATGGATTTGAAAATTGGAGGCAGCTATGCGTTATGATGGATAGGATTTTTCTGGTTCTCATTTCTCACAATTGCTGTGCATATAAAATCTTCATATTCAATACATGTTTCGGAATCGAGTATTTGACGAGACTCACTCGACTCGATTGAATAAAAGTTAGGGCTTTGACTTCCCTTTTTTCCTGTTCGGTGACGAGTTTAGTACTTTTGTTAGAGAATGCTGAAATTTAAAAATCAATGTATTAAATTTTAATAGGTTGACAAGGCAATATCGATTCATTTATTTTATTTAAATATAAATCATTATCAGTAGTAATTAACAAATAAATGAAAAAATTAGCAACGTGATGGCAAATGAATACTTACTAATATTACTAATAAATGTGTAGTAAAGTAGTAAAATTGAGGGGCATGAATTTAAAATGTTTCATCACTTTTAATGAATTTAAAATGTTTTTATCATTAAAATATTAGCAAAAAAAAAAAAAGAAATATAAACTAAAGGCTTTTAAATGTGAAATGGGGTGAAATAATATTGTAATTGATTAAGCAAGTAGAAACATTATAAATATAAAATCAACCCATAAATAATATCAAAAAATTAATAAGTAAGTGTTAAAATTTTAAAAATTTCTGATTATTATTATTATTATGTGAAATTAAATCAAATAAAAATATTAAAGAAGATGTCCATTCTTCAAATCAATCACACCCTTTCAAAGAAAAACGTGAATTCTACATTTCACTTTACATCTCACTCGATCAATAGTCACAGTCACCTGTTACATGTTCATGTCTATGTTGATATCACTCGCCCATAGTAAATATATAAATGATAGCCACAATACTATTCACAATGTTTATCACTTTTTAGTATTACTTTTCTATTAATTTGATTATATAATGGTACAAATTAATATGATGAATTTCTTTATAATTTTCAAGCCAACAATTAAAATTTGAACACGATGATTAATTATTCACCATTGTACAATCAAATGCTAAAAAGGACAAAAATCATTAACAAAAATAGAAAATTATAAAAATGAGAAAAACAAAATATCGGTTTGGAATGGGTAATGGGTGGTGTAATCCGGCCCTGTTCTCCCTCCATCTGCCCCTTCGCTATTATTTAATTCTAAACATT